TAAATAAATAAACTGCGTGTATTCTATGTAATAGAATTTACTATGCGACGTTGATGTTTGATTATTATCGTTTATCATTTACCGCTGTATCAAAAACTAATACTTTAAGTCGTAGGTTATACATAAACATTTTTTAAATGATTTGATTTTTATAAAAATATTAACTTGGAATTCTGTAAGAACTAAACTTAAATAAAGTATCGCCCCACACATCCTTTTTTGATAAAATAGTATAGCTATCTACGTTAGAGTATCTGATAATTTAGTTAGGATACTCAGTTCCTCCTTCGTCCCCTTCTTTAGTCAAGCAGTGATCTTGTCAAAAACGTTCATGTTCGATGCGTTTCCATGTGAATCTAGTCTTAGATGAGTTAAGTTCATGTTATTGCATTTGTTCGCATTGCCTCAGCTCGCTCTCAAAATTTCAGAAAACATTTTAAGTCTGCTTTTATCCAGTAAAATGTAAATTGTAGAAGCTCATATTATCATTGTTATATGAATTATTAGTTTCAAATTGTTCATGTTATGTAGTGTACATATTATATATCCGACAATTTTGGTCGTAACGATTAAATTTAAATTAAATTAAAAATTTTTCATTAATGTTATGTTAACTATTATACTACTATTGAATGGGTGTTAAAAAAAAATAAAAAAATATTGCTTAAATTTTATGAAAATTCAAGAATTGAAGAAAACTTTGACAGTTATTTAAATACTTATGTAAATTTAAAATTTTACTTTGCATTGCCAACTTCGTAGCTGAATAATCGTAAGTCTATGCGACTACAGTTTAAAAACGAGGTTGATACAGCTAAAACTTTGAGCCGTAAAAAATAATCACTGAAAATCGCAATTACCACCCGAGGGAGTCCATGTGAATAGTAAAAGCTCCTCAAAATGCATGATTTATCTTGTTAGGAATTAAAAAAAATTATAACTACACTGAAATCTAACAACGAGCATTATATTATTTTTAATGAATCAGCTCTTTCCCTTTTATTAATTTGCAGGATGGGGTTTCTGCAATAATGATTCCTATAATATACTGCACTGCAGGTCACTGGTTACTCATAATTAGGCCTCGAAAGTTGTTGCATTTGCAATTTTTTTTCTATTGTTTAGATTTATTGCTAAGCTGGTTGTAAATCTAAAAAGTTTTAGTGCAACTTTATGTAATTTTTGGCATTTTTCTGTTTTGTTAAAATTTTTTTGATTTCCCTCATTTATAATATAATTTTAGATAATTTAAAATTTTTTTTTTTTACGCAATAAATAAAATAATGATGGAGGCCGTGTTAGATATTAATATATGTCTGAATAGTACTACTAATAATAAAAAATAATTGATGGTTATTTCGGAATTGGTTGATTGTGATGGTAGCAGTAGAAATATTAGTTGATAAGACAATACACGAATTGCATAACCTGCTGTCATTAAATCGGAAATCTTTCGAGTTCTTTTGGTATTTAAAAAAATAATTTACTTTACAATGCAATTATTTTTAAGGTATACACACAAATGTGTATTAAAAAATAAGATAAAAATTGTTGAAATAAAACGTTTTTAAATGTTGATAATTTTGTTTAGAGGTTTCTGAAAGACCAGACTAAAATCACTATTACAATATTAAAATGAATTTTTATTTTGAAATATTTTCTAAAATAACTCATATTTGTAATATGATATTCTTAATAAATATTACTTGTAAATATTTTTTTAATAGTTATTTTGATAAAAAAAAGTTGATTGCGATTCTGGTTATTTTTACTTCAATAATTTAATAAATTTTAACTTTTTTTAGTGACTTTTTAACCTTTCTCATAATATCGGAATGTATTACAAAATGTAATTGATTTATCAAAAAGTATAATGTATTGATTTTCAGAAACTTATCAAATTCATTGAAATTGTTGTTGAGTATACCTCGTAAAATTGTATATTAATTCTTATTATTAACTCTTAATTAAGATATTGTTATCACCTTTTAAAATCTATAAACAGCGTGTTGCATTTACAATGAACAAAAAATAAATCGAAATGATCGATGTTTCGGAAAATCGGATGGATTATACTGAAATCATACTGTATGTATTGAAATAATATGATACTCAGAGGCGTAAATCTAGGGGAACAGGGAGGGGGTAAATTACCTTCTTAATTATCGATAACAATACTCGTTGGTCAATTTTCAGATATACATACTCGCAATAATAAGCATAGATACATCATTACACTTATATTACGTAATTTATATTATACGAGTGTAGCGACCATTTTTTTTTCATAGTTGGGTATTGAATACTTATGTTTTGCCTCCCTCCTCTCCCCATAATTCCAACTAGTTTGCGTCTCTGATGATACTACTGTAGACTGCATAGTGCATGTTATAAGGGCAAGACTTGCGTCATAACACAGACAAATAGCTTAAAAACTTGGAGCGTTAACGTAGATACGTATAATAATGTAGCGACATAACAACAATTCGTAAAAGAGCTCCCCTCATGTATCATAATAACGTCCGTCTTCACAATGGTCGACATCCCATGATTATAAATAATACTGTACGATTACTGTACTGTTGGTGGACGGTGAGCGTTAGTGTGTAAAGAAATAATGGCAATTACAAATGTTATAATCGGATCAAAAGACCTTCAGCAGTAATAATAAGTACTTTTGTTGCCAGTACTAACTGAGAGTAATTTTATCATTGCGCGCATTTAAACAAAATTTATTATTTGAATCTTATACATATAATATTGTATGCATTCAATGTAAACACTTATTGTATTACATGATGCTTGTTCGCAGTGACGGTGTTAGAGTTTGTGAGGCCCTGGGCAAAATAAATGTGAGGTCTTATAATTTATATTAATAAAATATTTTAAGTTCAGTTAAATCAGAACCGCGAGGCTTTAATTATAATTTAAGGCGCGGGGTCCTGGGCAACTGTCCCTATTGCCCACCCCCTCGCGCCGTCCCTGCTTGTTTGACTACATTACCACGTGACGATCGCCATTGAATTAATAGCATTTTGAAATTATAATTTTGTATTTTTCGGTATGAAATAGAAAACCAGATATTAAGCTTCAAACAAATAATATGGTTTACAACGTTTATAACATTGTTTTCCTTACCATGACATTTTTTTTATTAAGCTTACAATTAGTTTTCTAAACATTAATATAAAATCATTCATATATGTAGGTAGGTATCTGTAGGTATCCGTTGTGTCCTTTCGTAAATGAACACTACAAAGTTATTGTAGAGTAATATTTTTTTAACGGAAAGATAGTTCATACTAGCCAGTATAGAAAATAAAAAATGAATAGCTTATTTACAAAATAAGAAACTTTATTTATTTCAGTTTCTACGCTTATGAGGGTAAAAGTTGCCAAATTATTTTTAAATTTTGTGTAGAATTATAGTTTGTTGTTTAAAATACATTTATAAAATGGGAATTTTACACTTTACGAGCGTGTTATCCTAATTTGTTTTTTTAGATTGTATAAACAAGACTAAGGTTATTTTTTTCTAATGAAATAGTGAAAGTGTTATATTTTTGTAATTATTATTTATAAGAATTGTATTGGTATTTCTGGTTTAAATCTATGTTCAAAGCATAAAATCTTAAAAAAAATTAAATTTTGAATAACGTGAATTTTATTAGTGTCTCTGGTGAATGCTCTACTAGATTTTTTACCCAACACGAACACCATTATGATCATTCCGTTGTATAACTTTAAAGTTTTAAGTCTAATTAAAATCATATATTCAGCATTAGTGTTGTATAAAATAACACCGAGTTCATTTTTAATGAAGAAAAAGTTAATTTAACACACGAGTTGAATTTTTGAACCTTTCTGTGCGTCCATATTCTGTAAAATTATTCGGATCGATTGAATAGTTGTGATTAGTAATTAGTAGTACTTATAATTTAGTATTACGGTTTGGTGATCCGTTTTTATTAAAATCAATACGAGTATACGATTTAAATGTTGTGAGTTGAGCGTATAACACTAAATAAAATATGATTTGTGGTTTGTTGTGTTATAGATTTGCAGTGTTCAGAGAATCCAAACGATAAGATAAGCACTAGTGTAATTGTTTGTTTAACGCAATCTGAAAGATGACTTATGACGATCTTTTGTACAAAATTGGTGACTTCGGAACCTATCAGAGAAGAATCTATTTCCTTCTGTGTTTGCCCGCGATATCATGCGCTCTACATAAGCTCGCCGGCGTTGTCATCCTCAATAAACCCAATCACAGGTACATAAAACTTGTGTTGATGTATAATTGTTATTATTATTTCATAATTCTTGCCCTTCGATTTTCTCGTCATCGTCATGGTATAATTAATTATGATTGTATGTAACGCGTAATGGACGTTGCGTTACGATCAACATAATATGTAAAGTAATGTAAAAATAATTAACATATTATCGCCCACAGGTGTCAACTACCGGGCGAACCGGACAATGCGTCCTATCATTTGCCGTACGAAATTATGAACATGTCGTATCCCTACGACAGCAGAACGGGTAGTTTCTCCGCTTGTACTGTGTACGATACGAATTTCACGGACACGTATTATAAATCTAATACGCCGGCTGAGCGGATCAGATATTGTAACAAATGGATATACGACAAGTCGGAATTCCAAAACACCGTTGTTACAGATGTGAGGATAAAAAAACAGTTTACGCGGGCGATTCCGTGAAGTTTGACGGTTTTTGTAAATTTTTTTTAGTTCGATCTGGTGTGCGGAAAAGCTTGGTACAAGGGTACCTCGGACTCTATGCTGATGTTCGGTGTCATGTTGGGGTCTATTATTTTTGGGTACTTGTCGGACAGGTAAATCACCACAAATAATAATATCTATGCGAAGAGACGTAATTTAAAATTAATTGTATGCGAATCAAAATTAATCATATAGTATATTCATGTACATAGCCTGTTTAAATACAGGTATGCATAATAGGTCCGTAAGTGTACATATTATAATTCTAGTTCACATTTGACTCGTCATTACGTATTGAATTACGAATTACGAATTTACGACGTATTGAAGAGTGCAACGGAGGTATATTCAACAACTTTTATATGAATTCGTTTGTATATTGCACTTATTCTTATACATAAATGTGCAATAACGTTCAAAATAAATTGAGTGTTGTTAAACATAATAAATTAATTAAGTATTTAGTACTTAACGCGTAAGAATATAATTCCAAATATCACGCCATGTGTACTCGTACCAGATATGCTAAAATATTTCGATAAGATTCTTTTATATATTGTTGGTATGTGCGTACTATAATATACGTTCTACGCTGAGAGTTATTTGCTATCAAACTGTTTACATTCCAATTTAAAATTTGTTATATTCGTAATTTAATATTTTAAATTCCTGATTTATTAAAATTGGAATATCATATTTTTGAGATTTTGAAGTGACATAAGCATTATTTGTTCTAAAGAATAATCTGCCAATGAAAATTTTAAATGTTCACGTAATATAAGATTAATAGAATCCAACGACAGAGTTCCAAATAACTATGATACGTTATAAAATCATTATAGAAAATAATATATTTTATGTCGTAAAAATAACAACGTAAAAATAATTATAAAACCCAAATACATGTAGGTATATAATATCATAGTATTTGAAACTTTCAAATTAACAAGTCTGTGTATAGTGTGTACACATGTGTACAAATGTTATGTATATCCTATAAAAACACGGAGACTTATGTACGTAATTTTGTCGAATATTTACTTAAATTTTTTAAAAATAATAAAATATTATTTGGTGTATTTATATATATTGAATAGTTTAAAAGCGTTTCTTAAGTTGCGAAAAATTGTAAAAATGAAAACGAATCTTTAATATCTAACCCTAAAATATTATTGTATAAATTGTTTCTTGTTATCAGGATCGGAAGAAAAAATATTTTTACCATATCTGTTTGGCTACAGGGAGTCTCTGGTTTCGGTATGGCATTTGCTCAAGAATATTGGAGCTTTACATTTTTGAGGGTGCTGGTAGGAGCATCTACATCAGGACTATATCTAGCAGCTTATGTAATTGGTAAAATATATTCATGACTATTAATATACCAATAACTAATTTAATATTTAGATAAAAATTTGAAAAAAACTGACTTATACTAATTAGTTCATTAATATAGATTGGACTTGATAAACTATCACTCCGTCTAATTCATTTTTGTATTATGCTTAGGTATCTTATTATGCGTAAACATGTTTGAATGAAGCTAATTTAAATGATTATTTCGTATACTGAACTTTAATGTATTGGGCAATTAATAATTATAAGCATTGATTATTAATACTAATACTAATATTAATAGTATTTATTATCAATGTTATTACTTAGGTGCATTATCTGTTGTTGCCTCAATTTTTATAGTAAAATGTTTTTACTACATTTTATCAGTGGTAGCCATATTTATTCATTATTGTAATGAATGACAGTAGAATGTTCTAGGTTTTAAATTTAAACTGACCGTTGACCGTAGTTGAGACGTAATCGATTCCGCCGGCTACTGCTCATAAAAATCATACATCAACTCCGCTGATTATTGATTCCAACAGTTACTGTTCATAAAATCAACTATCTATTCCGGTGGCTCCTATTTTCACATAATTATATTTATAGGGGAAAAATAATAAATACAAGATTACAGAAAATCGATTTACCTTATTTTATAAAATATAAATGGTAGCAATATACTTAAATATTAAAATAAAATTAATAAATTGTCTAGTATAATAATAATAATAATAATAAATTTAATGTTATGATTTTTTTCTTCTTTCTTTCGCCTTTTTCCCAACTATTTGGAGTCGGCCACTCTTGTTCTAAACCTCCACTCGTCTCGATTTTCTTCATCCCTTACGTACACACAAATGGCTCTCATATCTTTCTAAATCGTATCCAAGCATCTTTTTTTTTCGTTTTTTTCTTCCTCTTTTCCCTTGAACGTTCATTTTCATACAACTATTATTGCATTTATTTCTTTTCGTTTCATCTCATACCCAAACCATCTCAGTATATTTTTTCTCATCTTGTTCACTATAAAAGTTACATCGATACTCTTAAATATTCGTTCTTTATTGCATCTTATCTTGTTACTCCATTTATCCATTTAAACATTATCATTTCCGCAACAATCATACTCTGTTTTATTTTTCTGTCAATCACCCAACACTCTAAACCATATAGCATGTTGGTCTCACTACTCTGCTGTAAAATTTACTTTTCAGCCTCTTTGTAATTCTTTTGTAGTATAAAACGCCCGATCCTTTTATCCATTTCATCAAACCGCACTTAATCCTGTTTTACTTCCATGCCAAAACCTCCGTATTTTTGTACAAATGATCTTAAATATTTAAGTTCTTGACTTCACCTATAACATCACCAATTATTGTGACTGGTCTCCTCATCCTCTCAACTTATTGGTATCTTCCTCCAAAGTCATACTCAAAATACTCTGTTTTATTTCTACTAATTCTCAATTTCTTTCCTTTAAGGGCTAACCTACGCTTATCCAATCTATTATTAACTTCTTCTAAATTTTCTCCTATCAAAACTATATCATCATCAAACATCATACACCATGGTCAGTAGCGGATTTAAGGGTTCAAATAAAGTCGGGAAATCCATAAGAGGGGCCTCGTAAAAAATTCCAGTAACATACTTACCTCTATTTTACAAAACCACTTGCTTCGCTTGCGAAAGCAATGACCAACCAACATTCTTCTTTTAAAAGTAATAGAAAATGTTTTTTATTTATTTTTTACAAATAAAACTAAATTTATATTAGATATATAAAATTAAAAAAAAAATTATAGCTTAGAACCTTTTGCAAATTTTGGCCTTAGAAAACTTGTCGATAAGTTTAGTCATATCGAGGTTTTATACTGCTTCATACTCCATTGGAAGTAACGCTAAATTGCTTATTCGATTTTGAACCATAGTTGAACGAAGATAATTTTTTAATCTTCTTAGTACACTCATAGCACTTTTCTTTCAGCACTCGCACTTCCAATGAGTAATATTAAAAATATTTTTAAAAGAGTTTCCATTTGGGGCAATTCATCAGACAATGAATATTTAATAATGAATGTCAAATAACATAATATATTATTATCTGTACTTTCTGATTCTTTTGAATCAAAATAATAACTCTGAAACGACGTTATTTCAAGAGACAATTTAATTTACAGTTAAATAATTATATTGTAACATAAGAGCTTCGCACTTTTCCTTCACATCTTCTATATTTAATTTTTTTAGTTCATCTGGATTTAAAAAATAAAAAAAATCCATGACTTTGGAAGATCCATTCATCCTTTCATTTAATTCGCCAATCATGTTGTCTAATGTTTCAAAATAAATTTTTCTATATTTTTCTTCTTCTGATAAACTTATATCTCTAGTATTTTATGAATTTGTAACGGCATATTTTTTGTCCTTTTCTTTGGAAATTCTGCTGATCCTAAAACAACTGTAAAGATATCAAAATTTGACCAAACAGTTTTTGCTTCTATAACAAAAGCATTATATTGATCATGAGTTCTTAAAACACTTTATTTGTAAACTTCAGATTAGAAACTTTGTAACACCAAGAACAAGTCATTATTTGTTGATTGTAATAATCGGGATACTACATCACTAATTTGTAGTATTTTATTCCGTCATATTAAATTTGAAAAAAAAAATACCCAATTTAATGATTCTATTAAACATCTAGCTCGAAATAAAATTTCAGAATTAGTTTCTAAATTTTCAGATTCTTCTTTTAAACATTTTTTAACGGATTGAAAATTTGAAAGTAATGCTTTAATTGCTTTAACTCTAGCAGACCACCTTGTTTTACACAGACCTTTTAACGAAGAAGGTGTTTTACTTTATTTGAAATATTTTTTTTCAAACTTGTCATTTTGACAAGTATTTTTGACAATGCTCTAAAAACTAGCACCAATTATACTTCTTCAACCAATAACACATAATATAAATTAAATAACAATATGTATAAATATATTATTTCATTATTGTGAACAAAATTAAATTTCTAACAAACATTTTTAAATTTGTTGTAGAAATATAAATATTAACAATCAAACATTTATCCACTGTTAAGTTATAATGACATAAAACGTAGAAATATAAGCGAATAGCAATTGGTAATGCGGAGGCAATACTCATTGCCCATTGTCTCTATTTATAATAATATTAGAAAAACGTTAAATTTATTCTGCGGCGGAAACAATGTCCTAGCCCGTTAAATGTATGAACATATGCAATATGCAAAACATAATGCAAATGCATTAAATTCACAGCTCTGTTTATCAAATTTTCAATGTTATGTACATTGCGAATTTATCGCGAAAACGGTATTCAATAAATCATAATTTACGCGACAGGGCCGCAGATCGAAGAATGAAAAGATTGTTATTATACTTACAAAATTATTTTTATTTGTCATACAATCTTGATTGCGTCTTCATGCGACTTGTCATTACGTTGAATTGGAATCAAATGATTAAAATAATAGATTTTAGTAGCCACAAACTCACAAATGACTGTTGATACTTGATGGTTATTTTATTTTCCACGATAACAAAGTAGATATCTACTTGATATTGGTGTATTTTAATTTGTATTGTATGGGAAAACCGATGCAGCGAAATTGATTACGTTGTAACATCGATTATAATTATCGTAAATAATATTATTTGTGATTGTTGATCAATGCCAACTACCTAGAAATATAGAATGTTGAATAACTTAAATTTACGTATATATTGAAGTATTCCTAAATATTTAAATTACTTTACTAATAAAACAATAGTAAATTATATTTCTGTTTACAATATACAATTTTTTTTTAGTCAAAATTAAAAAAAAATCAATTACATAATTTAGGTAGGCCTTGGTACACAATTAAGGAGGGGCCTTGTCGGTATTTTCCGACTAAACGACCGTTAAATCCACCACTAATCGTAACTTCATCTATTACCACAAAGAACAAATAGAGGCTGAGAGTCCTGATGCACACCAACTCCTACGTTCAAATCTTCTGTTACCCCACAAAAACACTTTACTAAATAAATATATTATAATTTTATAATCATAAATTAATTTTGGTAATAGTTATAAACGTGTTTTATTTACGTAAACATAGAATTGTTTTATATTTAGTTATATTCATAAATTATTAATAAATTGTTTTGGTCTTTAAAAGTTCTATTTTTATGAATAGTAACTGATGAAATAATTAGTCGGTGGAATTGATATAAGATTTTTATGAATAGTAGCCAGCGAGGTCGATAGTTATTTTTAAATTTTTTGAAACCGGAAGTTTCAGCGGAATCAATAAATTTTCCGTAGCTAGACTTAAATTTTAAAATACACCCAACTGGACTTTTACGGCTGTATTTGGAGTATTAATACCGACATTTATTTCTAGAACACAATAGATAAATCGGTTTTTGATTATAATATGGGTATGTTTTTTCGTAGGTTTAGAATTCGTAAGTCCAAGTTATCGGATGGTTGTCGGTGTAGTCATACAAATGTTTTTTTCCGTTGGTTTCTTTTTGACATCCGCATTTGGGGTAGTCTTTACCAATTGGAGATACTTCCAGTTGGCCATAACTGCTCCCTTTTTATGTTACACGACTTATTATTGGTTTGTAACGCACACGTGTTTCTATCAATAGAACATATTAATAACAATTTATACGGTAACATTTTTTTTTAGGTTTATGCCTGAATCGATTCGATGGTTATTAACTAACGGAAAACAAGAAAAAGCAGTGGAAATTATACAGAAAGTATGTCGTGTGAACGGTGTGGATATGTCAAGCAAAGACATAATAGAAATATTGGACAACGATTTTGAAGACAAACCTGTCGTTCAAAACGATAACTTGCCCAAAGCTTCATTTTTCGATCTATTCAAACACCCAGTGATTTTGAAGAGATCCATCATCATAATGTTTTTATGGTGATTAATGAAATTTTAAATTAACTTTCTAACTGTCATTAGTAAATCAAGTAAATTAAAACTAAAATTGTTGTACATTTATCCAAATGAAATTAGAAGGTAATGTAGGAAATAGCAAGTGATTATGAGACTAAATTAAAAAATATCTTTTACATAAATACTTATTAATATAATGTGCGATTTAAGACCTATGAGTGACTAATAATCAAGTGTGAATTTAATTTTCATATCAATGACAGCTGACATTTACAGAGAAATATAAAAAATTCATTATTTACTTTAAAATATGTCGAAAGTAAAACTTACTTATCATCACACCTAATTACTATTATTATTAAAATGGTTTAAATATATATCAGAGTTTAAAAATATTATTACATTTCGCTATCATTGTTGTTAAGCACGATAAAATACTGACATTTAAAATATTTAATAGCATAATTTTCGGTAGTACTAATTAATTGTTATTATTTGTTGGTCTTTCTTATGTGAATTTAATTTTAAATATTTTTGTTTGAACTTTGAAATTAAAAAAAAAAAAAAACCCATAATGATAGTTTTTTATTGACATTTTTTTCTGCTTTTTATAAAATACAAATTCGTTACTTTAATGACTGAAAATTAGTACTGTTACATCTAATGCTTTTTATATATATATATTTTTTTTAAGGTTTGTCAACAGTACTGCTTACTATGGTTTGTCCTGGAGTACTTCCAGTTTAGGTGGAAATCATTTTTTGGTGTTCAACTTAATTGGGTTAGTCGAGTTCCCAGCTTATATATTTTTGTTACTGACCATGAACCGATGGGGCAGGAAGATAAATATATCTGGATTCCTTATTTTAGCCGGATTAGCACTTTTAGCAACGCTAGTCATATCCAAAAGTAAATAAATTTTTATAATTAATTATACTTTACGAGTAGTAGGTGTTAATATTTGATTTAAAGGCTGCAGTAAGGAAATTATGTTAATCATACATAGATTTAAGAATCCAGTATATTGTTATGGATCCACTATGTGGTCATTTACAAATATAAAGAAATGTCATTTCATTTTTAAATTCATTATATTTTTTATATGAGAAATTCTGACAAAGTATAATAATAAATATAATATGGTACGACTCTGAAATGTTTTGTATAATGTTATAACAGCTTCAATGCTCTGTAAGACCAAGACCAATTTATGTGCCATGTGTGTTCTTTAAAGTAAAGACAGGATTTAATAGATATTTTTAAAAAATGTATAGACATTTTTATTGATACCAGGTAAATCAAATCTGGTCAAATATGTATACGAATTGGATTAATTACAGTCTTCCTATTTATTTTAATAATGCAATTTCTTACACTTTCAACGATTTTGTAACTTTTGCAATTATTGCAATTTTTATATAAGTATTTCACGTCATAAAATATATAAATTATTATTTCTAAAGTAATTTTACAATAAAAATATAATTACGGCGTTAATTTTTGTAGTTAAATGTAGTTTAGCATTTTTAAAATTATAATTATCTGAGTTATCCACAAAACTCACAAGTTTAGAAGAATCAAACAGCCAATTACTCAATAGATATTTTTAGTGAAATTGAAAATATGTTGATAAATGTTCCCAGTCCCAATGGGAAAATAGTTAAAGAAAAATTAAAATATGTCTTAAAAAAAAATTAAAGATCTAAAACAATTAAAACTTTTTTTTCTGATTTGTTTATTAAACGTGAATATATTGTTGTTTTTAATTTTATTGGGATGATTAAGAGTAAGTCTTAATAATTAATCATTGAACTCATTTTACTTGATAATAAAAGCATTCTGTCGAAGATAGAAGTGTTTATAAACACCATGCCATTATTTTATACAGATTTTTAAAATTAATTTTACGATTATTTTGTTTGCAATTAATCATTGACAAATTTGACTCTTGAACTGTATTTTATTCCAGGTAACACGTGGTTAGTTATCTCCTGTGCGCTAGTTGCCAAAATGTCCATAACTGCATCGTACGGTGCAGTGTACGTCTACACCGCGGAACAGTTTCCGACCGTTGTGCGGAATATGGGCTTGGGCGTAGGATCATTTTTCGCCAGGATTGGCGGGATCGTAGCTCCATACATCAATAATACGGTATGTGCGGTGCGCAACGAAGTATATTCGGAAGAGAAACACAACGTTCACGTATTGGAACGTCACCGATTTGTTATTAAACATTCGTATATATTTTCAGAGTGAAATTTGGATTAGCATGCCGTTGATCGTCTACGGCAGTCTGGCGTTGACGATCGGAGTGTTGTCGCTTGTGTTACCTGAGACGTTAAACAAAAAAATGCCTGATACTATCGAAGATCTCATTGTTACGTCTGGAAAGTAAGTGAATTCAAACACAATTTTTTATTTGATCTATTTTAGATGTATGACTCGTCATATATCGAATTCTTTAAATATCTCGTGTGCATCAACCGAATTTAATTTGTGCAACACTAAAAGATGATCTTTCTAAAAATCGTATGAGTATGTTAATGTGATCAAGGCTGCTCTTAGAACTTGCGAAGCCTGAGCAAAATATCATTGTGTAGCCCTCCGAGTTTTCACCTTCAACCCAAATACTTAAATCTAAATAAAAAAGTTATTTGCTGTAATGTAGACAAAGGACGAACAATTTTTTTTATAATTACAATTTTTTATTTTACTATAAGGATAAAGTAAATAATACATTTTATTATACATAAATTTCAATTATAAAATTATTAGAGATTAAATCTACATAAATTTACTAAACATTTTTATCCTGGATGATTGTCGAGTTGTACAGTGTCATTAATTTCAATATTATGTTAGTTATTAAAATTCTTTTAGGAATTTCCTTAATTTGCTGTATTGACATTCGTCCTGTATTTAGCATATTTAAAAATTTGTTTTTTCTTTTTTTTTAGAAATACTCTAAAACGTTTTATTTGTATCACGCTCATGACCGCTCATTTTAAATAATTTAGCATTACATTTTTAACCATATCGTATTTTTTTTTACATTTTTACGCCGTTTCCTATGTAATTACGACAAACATGATAATAGTTTTATAATTCAAATTTTTAACCACATCATTTTTAATTGTCCCTCTCTTCATGTTAGCCGTCAATTTTTTCTTTCTTTCCTATCTTCTTTTGGTTATAGCCCTTTATTCACTAATCTTCTCCTTAACTCTTACTCCATTCCTATCATCCATTTCATAATTAACTTTATATATTCCTCTGGCTTTCTTATTTAATTTTTTGTGTTAGTTTTCTTTATCTCTATTTATTTTATTTATTTAGTTTACTAAATTATTTATTTACTTGCTTTACCGTAATGTTTTTTTAACAAAAGTAAATAGAAAAAAAAAATACAAACCATACAATTTTAAAAATAAAAAAATTATTAGAAATGCATTCTCTCTTTGCGAAAGGTTTCCTTATTATGCCTATTTGTCTTATTTTATTTCAGACTTTAGTCTATTAGTAATTAATTAGATAACGTTGACAGAACGATAAATGTTTATTACATAATTATATTGTATAATGTATACTAATATAAATTATTTCCGCAATTTGAAGTGTAAAAAATAAAGTAAGTGCTTGGCCTCCACCATGCTCGAAGCCCGTGGCATGGACTTCACAATCCCCCCCTCTTTAAGTGTGGCTTTGAATGTAATGATATAGAGGAATGTCAAGAACAATTTGTGATTCGTACTATTCAAAATTTCAAATGTAAAAGAAGGGAAAAACAAAAGAGAAATTATAGAAATCCGGAGTTATTTATTTTTTGTGTATAACTTGCCAAGGTGATGTATTCTGTTTTGATAATTACGTCGTATTCTATACAAATACAATTATTACTCGACGTTTCTGATTCTTTAAATTTATTGAATTATGTTAAATTATGTGAACGGTTCGAGTCATTAGTCAAATGTGATGAGATGTAAATTAAAGTCTACATACTATGTTATGATGATATAATTTATTGAACTTCAAATGTTATGACATTTGAATTAATATTATAGCATTATTTCATCTGGACAATTTCACAATTACCAGATGTAATTGTAATGTTGATATAGTGTGGATTTATTATTTTTGTTATTGCGAAACAACTTAGCATTATGTATGGAAACGTACTGAAATCAATTGCTTGAACTATATTCCTTTAATAAGTGGTAAAAAGTATAAAATATTGTTGTATATATTTATAAATCATTGCAATACTTTTATATTCACGTGTTCGTCATTTTGCGGTTTTAAACTCTTTCGAGTTTTAGCGTGTACAATTTGAGCTATTTCTATAATCGTACCTATTATATTTTACTGAGATATATAGAAATAAAATATTTAGACGTAGAATGCGTAAATTGTATTAACCTACGTACAAGTAATCTGTTTACATTATTGATTATAATTACTGGAACTTTAACCTTTTTAATAATATTTAGTCATATTTATTGCTAATACTATGAATTATATATTAAAATATTAAATAGTAATTTTATATTGTTCTTATCGGTCATTATATAATTTGAAATTACTTTAATGTATACAAACTTGATAAGATATTTTATATTACAGCTCAATTTATTTAATATTTTGATAATCAATAACATAAATTAAAATAAGTATGTACGTCATTGCATTCATATGAACACTTATACATATTATGACATATTATATTATAAATATAAATATATAATCATATATTTATCATTATATTATTCTTTAAATTACCAATATTTTTAGGGCGCTTATTTAGTATCAAGTTACGAAAGATTTCGTTTTTTCTGGGCTTTGATAATTTACTTACTTGATTTTTAATACGATTTCTGTGTTTTTTTCATCTGAAACATTTGAATTAATATAGTTGAGTAGACATCGAAACACATTCATTTTGATCATGAATTATTAACATAAAATTCGAATCTTCGACTCTTGATATAAATTATTTTTATTTTTGAAAAAGTATTCAAAAAAATTTCTAGTAAAAATACTGTAGGTAAATAGTATTTTTCTTCATTCGATTATAGAATTTAATCGATTTTAATATTGTGAATAATTTTAAATACTATAATAGAGAAAAAAAATTAAGAAAACAAAAGCTGATTCATGTATTTATTGTATTCATAGTATATTGTATTTATTTTACATAAATTACAATATATTGATTATACTAGTTGACATATTATATCGATGAAAAAATTTATTCATAGTAAAAATATATAAATTTACACAACATTGTAGATAAGACGTAATTTATTTATTTTTTTTTTTAAGGAAATACGAACAAGTGCATATAAACGATTTGGAAAAAAATGGTGATGCAAGCAAGGATATTAATGATAAGTTATAGTATTATCAGTATTAAGTATTTTTACACTTTGTCTAATGGTTTGTTATTGTTTTGATTGCTATTTTTTTTTATGACTATTTATTACTATTGGAAAATTAAATGAGTTGTATGTGCCTATTTTTACTATCCATATTAATTATAACACACTTTAGTTAATACAAAATAGAATTTTAGAGATTACTTTTCAGTGGCTATTAAAATTTTTATTTATTTAAAATAGTAGTTAAAATAATGTCTGTTTAGCTGGTTATTAAATGATTATATGATCATATTATTTACTGTCAGAAAGATTGATTCAAAGCATATGTATTAATAGTTTTGTCATCGTAAACTAATCTATTGTCATGCTCATTTTAATCCAAACATCTAAATTATATATAGTTCGTGCACGAGTTGTGCAAAAACTACAATACATTTTTATTTGTGATTAAATCTATTTTATTATAAAATATAAATTATTGTGTTCTATACTTATAGTGTATACTTGTTTTTTAAAGCACAGGGTACAACAGTATTAAAATTAATTATTTAACTATTTTCATAATTACGAATTACCATTTTTATAAACTATGCTTAATACCTCATTTTTAAGATATAATAATTATATGTCAAATGTTTATAATATTAAGTAATAATGTAATAATATGTTATTTTTTTTACAGTAATGTATATCAACTTGTACATTCATAATTTCAGAGTTTCATACCAAATTATATGATTTAAATTAATTTTTTATGACTAGTTTTTTTAATTTTTATTGAACTTTCTAATATAGATGTTAGTATTTGGTGATTTTTAATTTTAATTTTGAGGTTTATGAGTTACATTTAAACAATTTTTTTCAAGCATATAAACTAATTACATTTTTGTAAAGTGGCAATTATCCTTTTTTTTTAATCTCATTTTACATTTTTTATTTTGTTTTTAATTCATGTTATTTTGAGTAAGTATAAATGTTAAATTACTGTTTTTTGTTTCTATAATATAAAAATATTTTTAGAATGTAACAATATATATATATTAATTAATACAACCAGGTAAACTAATAAATCCAATAATTATTCACATTATTATCTCAAGATTAATTTCAAAACCATCCAAATATTATATTTCTTTGAAATTATAGATAAAAATAAATAAACTCTAAAGTATTCCTATTTCCTTGTATGATATTATGAGTGTTCATTTTTATTGATCCATATATTTTGAACTAAACAATGTATATTAAACTTATTTATCTGCAAGGATGATTAAAGTAGTATATTTTACTCAAATTTATGTATAGAATTTCTTACAATTTGTAGTTAAGTACGTAGGCATGCGCTTAAAGGGTTCCGGTTGTGCCCGGGTACCTCAAAATGTTAATAGGGTTCTAACATTTAAGAGTAACTGGTTCGTATTTTAACTGATGTTGCTCAAATTAAATGTAATTTATTCTTAAATATATCTAAATGATATTCCGTAATAGAAAAAAATAAAACTAAATTTTCTAAATTTTATTTCATAATTTTGTTATGATAATATAACAGCTAAAATTGATTATAAGACTACTAATCATAAATAGTTGAAGCTATCTGAGAAAAATATACGAGATTCAAGAAAAAAATATTCCTTTGGACTAACATATCACAATATTAAATAAAAAATTAAAGTTGTATTAATTTAATTATTTATACATTATAATTTATTATATACACCTACACATTTTGTTAAGTTGGGGCCCAAAAGTATTATAGGTACCCCCTGAAAGACAGATCTGCGCATGCCTATGGCTAAGTGTGAGTTTCAATTAAAAAATTATAAATTAAAGATGTTGATAAGTGTTGTGATTTTTTCCCATGTTATAAACATTGTCATACCTATATATTTTCAATAATATTTTAGAGAGTTAATGTGTAGTGGTATAAATGTTCAGTTTATTTAGCTTATAGATTGTTAAAAATTAATATATAAATAAATTTAAATATTACGGAAATATCTATACAACAGTTGTAATAAAATATTGTAGATAAAATTATATTATTGAGTAGGTATACCAGACATATAGTATATCCAAGATGTTAAAATTTTATTCGGTGTTAGGTCTTGGAGGTGTGTCTATTCTTTTTCGAAGTGTGTAATTTTTTTTATACATCATAGTGCATAAATTATAAGCGGATTATTAAAAAAAAAAAAAAAAACAATAAAGCGCGTGCTTTAACTTCAATGTGTCAATATATAACAAAAGGAAATAAAATATGCTGTGTGTCTTCGTTCTATTGATAAATTTCCACACGGGCAGCTTTCGTGATGTAGGGTTATAATGTTTTTCAGAAATGTCAAGCTTATGTATATCGTACACTTACTCGAGTAAACAGGTATCCGTACGTATTATCATATAAATGTATAATATTTAATATTAATATAAAAATAATTGTTCAATCTACTGTAGAAAACGAATTGATAATTTGATCACCCTGTTCCTGGTTCACTTTATAAACGTAGAAATTAATTCGACGCACGACTAGAAAGTATGTGCACAAATCTCAGTTTATTATACCATTATTGAACTACAGTTATATAAGATTTACGTTTTTTGAGAAATTAAAACTAATTATCTATGTTACTAGTACTGTATCATTGATTGATTTGTTTGTGCAGCCGATAAGTATTTTGAATTAAAAATCGCTGTCGGTGAACAGATTTTATTTTATATGAGAATGTAATAGTTTTTGATAGTTATTTTAATTTAAGTATTATTGTTTTCAACTTATGTATGATTATTTTCTCTTCGAGTGTGACATTCTTATGACTTGTATTATTTTGTATTCTAAATGGTACATTTACTAAATGTCGGCAAAACCGACAAATGAAATTCTATTAACAAAAAATTATATAAATAGTGTTAAAAACAGTACATTTAAACGAATTTCTTTGGTATTATCTGGTTTAGGAAAAAATTTAATTACTATAACACCGAAGTGTCATTATAAAAGCTATTATTTGATTTGCCAGTACGTTTTATTTGGATATGACTTGGATAATGTTGGAACATTTTTTATTTTTTAAATATTGTGTTTTAATTGCCTATAAAAATCTTAACACTGTCATATTCAAATTTTTTTTTTACTTTAAATATTAAGGTAAGTATAGATTTTTATAATTCAGCGAAAAGTCCCGTAAATCGTTTTATTATTCGTGATGCCAAGGGCTGGTGGCTGTGAATTTAGTTCTCACGACTTAAAATAAATACATTTAAAATTCACTAAAAATTCAGTAAAATTCTTTCACATATTTAAATTAAAATTATTTCAGGAATGTATTAAGAAATAAATTAATCTAAAAATTATTTCATGATATCAAATGTATTTAATAGTTGAAATACTGTGTTTTTATTATAAAATGTAAGTTTGTTGAATTAGTATTACATAATTATTTTATAATTAATAAAAATATACTTAATATAAAATCAGTTTTCTCATAACAATTTTAACCATTCTAGTATCATAACCATTAAAATCATCATATTCTAAACACAATTATGATTTTGAAGACAAGTAGTTTCGTAGTTTGTAATGAGACCGCAAGCTTGATTTAGATGACTGTGCATTTATGCACCCCTGCTCTACTGGTAAATCTGATACTTGACTATTACTAAAGTGTTATATGAATAGTATTTGAAATGTGTCAAAATTATGTGTGTACACAAATGGCCGGATTAGCACAGCGCATAAATAACGTATAACTAATGTAATTAGTTTGTTAATTATTGTGATCTTTGATCTTTTAAATTTTAAATTTTTAAACTCATAACTGGAAATTGTTGGTTGTTTTCTGTTCGAATAATCAAAATTTCGATATGAATGGTCGTTTAAAATGTTTCCATCAGTTAACATAATGTAAACATAATAGTTGTGGCTGATTATTTTAACTATCCAATTGTTTACTGGCTTTGAGTTTCAAAGAAGTTTCAATTTTAACTTTTAAAATGCAGTTATATTATTTATTAAATAATTAAAGGAAAATTATTGGTACAAACGTAAACTACTAAAAGTGTGGTAACCATTCAATATTAAATACATACATATAAAGCTCCTTTTAGAGAGTAAGTAACCCACCAAATGTTGTGTTTATTAGGTATGGTCCTTAAAGCATGAAAAATTACATATAAATAATGTGTATACATATTATTGTTTATAAAATGTTAAGTTTTTATTGCTATTACAGTATGTATATTTATATGTATTGTATACATTTATATATATATATATATATATATATATATAAATAGTTTTTAAAAATAAAATTTTTATTATACTAATACTATATGTCTACATAGATTGTCAGGTGAGTCTTAGGAATTTCCGGTAGAATTATGAATTTTTCATTATAGAAGTATAGAATAATGGAATGAAAAATGACAGTTCATCACGTGAAAAACATGCACTTATAGCTAGTGTGGTTTTCATGGATAAATTGTTGTATGCAAATTAACATTTTTATGTTTTCAATTGTGTAAAATAAGTGCATTTTAAAACGTCATAAAAAATGCGCTCTTTAGTGTATATACATATATATATATATATATTTAGTTTAAAGGAAACTAAATACTCAAAGTTTTTCGATTTAATATGATAAGCAATAGAGAGAAAAAAATCATTACGTGTAAGACAAACCCTAGTTTGTAATATTTTGGGTTTTTAAATGGAAATCGAGAAACATCATAAATTAATTAAACATACAATTTTAAGGTAACTTTTTGTATCCACGTCACACATTTCAATAGTAGTACAAAAGGTATGCAAAATAAAAGTAATAATAATAAAAAAATAGGAATATATAATTCTGATATACAGGGTAAAGAATATAATATGAATAACATCCATTTAATTTATTTCATACTAGACATAATATTTATACGGAGGAGTGCTCGTCAATACGCGTGAGCGGTCACGAATGTAGTATTATATTATGTTTATTATTCTACCCAAAAACGAATAAGCACCTAAGAAAAAAAAAAAAATTAAAAAAATGTACGATCACAACGACAACATAACGGTAATATTATGCACATATTCGTAAATCATCCTTAACACAAAGTGCGAGATCAAATTACCAACATAGACTAGCATTTTTTAATCACAGCGTTTACCAGTAGAAATCACGAATCGCTAACCGTGGACTCAATCGGTCAATATCGATAATAACTATATTATAATGTTACTAAATAAATACAATAATTATTATAACACTATCACTTATTGGTGGTGGTGGTGGAGGTGGTAGCATTGTCGCTCGCAACGAGTTTTGTCGCGTCCGATTTGATGCTGCTCTTGGACGAGGTTCTGGGCAATTTATACCAGCTGGGCGGCATGTACTTGAGACTCTCCTGCCTGGTGGGCGGGAACTTTGTCTCCAGGGCCCGGGTCTCATCGGTCTTGTGACTGGACGTCGACCCATGCCGGCGAATCCTGTCGTCGGCGTTGACCATCTGCACGATCATCTCCTCCACGTCCTCGTCTTCGGTGCTCGACTGGTTCCTGAAGCCGTTGCCGCTCTTGTTGGAATGGCTCCATCCCTTCTTCATACCGTAGTCCCGTTCCAGACCACGGCCCTTCTTTGCCAGTAGTTTGGTAAGCTCGTTCTTGAATCTCGGATGGGTGATCGCGTATATCCACGGGTCCATGCAGCTGGCCGCTTTGCAGAACAGCGCGGGGATCATCGAGTTCAGCGGCGTGATGAATTCCTTCCGGTCAAACACGCCCAACAGCGCGACTACGGCGTACGGTGTCCAAGAGACGAACCACAGCACGATGACGCCGATCACCACGTATCCGAGCCGGATCTCCGTCTTTCGCTTCTCCTCTTCCTGCCCGAACCGGCTGGCCGCCATCTCGCTGGTCATGCACACCGCGCGCAGTATCTTCACGTAGCAATACGATATCGTGGCGAATGGGACGCACCACGCGGCCGCGAAGAACACCAATATGAACGATTTCTCCGGGCCCACGTCCGTCAGATAGTCAAAACTGCAGCTGGTCAGGTAGCCCTCCGGCACGTACCGGTTGTACCCCAGGTCCAGTACCGGGACCACAGAGAACGCGAACCCGTAGATCCATATCAGGCCGATCCATACCCGGGCCCTCTGCTTGGTGGTCTTGACGGCCGCGTTTAGCGGGTGCACGATCACGTAGTAACGATCCAGCGATATGGCCGCGAGCGTCATGATGGACACTGTGCCGGTCAAACCACCGAAAAACCCGAAGATCTGACATCCTGTGCGGGGCGAATCGAACGAAAAATCAATAAAAAAATTATTACGTAATCGCATCGACGGGCTTACCCAATTTCCCCAGCGCGGGGCCTTGGTAATAACTGTTGTAGATGAAGATCGGCGTTTTCGCTATCATGATGAAATCGCTGACGGCCAGATTCATTATCAACACGTTGGCCGGCGTTTGCAACGACTTGCATCTGCAAGAAGAACAACACATCGAACGGATTGCGTTACATTTAACGGAATGCAATTACACTAAGACTGGGAATTTAATAATAGTATTATAAAATATTGATTTTATTCCATATAAATTCGAAATGGAACGTTTATAATGTTGTCTATTATGGTACAAATGATGTTATACAAATAGTAATGTTTCAATTCGTTTTGTTGAGAGGGTATACTATGCCGACAAGTGTCTGAATATAAACATTTTCATGATTCAGACAGTGGCGGTGGTGGTGATGGAAAAGAGTTATGAATATTAACGAAAAACTGAAATCCATACATTTTTGTTTTTTTACAAAAATAGAAATTAAAATTATTTAAATACTTTGATATCATCCTAGTAAACCGTCAATAATTACTTAACATAATAATAATAATAGTAATACACTAATCGTCTGACAAAATAATGCCTAAATTAGAACCTATAAAACGAATTACATTTAATAATTCTCCGTGAAATGATCGGGACTCAAGAGTAAACGTAGTATACGGTTTATATGTAGCGTACCCCATGGGAACACCAATGTTTACAAAATTGATTTGAAAAAATAAAATTGGTCAGGTTTTAACATGACGTATTGTTCAACATATTATTATAATACGAGGTATCTGTGTGTTATACTCAAATAAAAATAACAGATGTTAATGGGATTCGAATCCAAAAACAACGAAAATGTTCTAGAGTAAAAAAAAAAAAGATGTAGAGCGCCTACCGAAACCGCGACCCCGGTAAAATCCGTACGGTTACGGCCCCGAGCTTGCGCGTGCCCGGTGCGAGTAGTTCTTACTTGATGTACATGAAGATCACCAGCGAGTTGCCGAAGCAGCCGAACACCATAATGACGGTGTACAGGAACGCGAGCGCGTAGTGCGACGCCGGGTCCGGCGGCGCGAACTTGAACCAGTGCGCGTTGATCAGTCTAGCGTAGTCGTCCGTGTACAGCCCGTGCTCCTTCCACAGACCCACGGGGTACCTGGTCTCGAAGTCCGTCATCGCTACGCCGCAGGCCGTGCGATTCATTACGTCCACGGGGGTCGGTGGCGGTGGTGGTGGCGGCATTGGTGGCGTCGGGGGTAAGGGCGAGGGTTGTGGCGTGCTGGGCGGTGGAGAGGGTTGCGGCGTTCGAGGCGTAGGTGGCGGCGCTGGTTTCCGGGCACCGCCGGCCCCTAGCCTCTTGCCCGGCTTCGGCCGGACTGCGGAGTCGCGGCGTTCCGATGTGACGTTCCGCGGCGATTCCGGCGTTCTCGCGGGTCCGGGGCGACGGGTCGTTTTCGCCGCGGTGCCATTGTTGCCGGCGTCGCGGGACCGCGGTCTCGACCTCTCGGTGTCCGTTCCCTTGCCGCCGCCGGTCCCGTTCGCGGCCCTGCTCAACACGCCGGTGGAATGTTCGGCTACCGAGCCGATGCCTGCGCCGCCACTCTTGCCGCCGTCGCCAGCGTCGTGGGGCTCGTCGCACCCGGGGCAGCGGTCACGCGTCGTATTCGATATCCGTTTTTCGCGCTCGTCGATAGCAAGTAGCGGCCCGACCGTGGTCGTCAGGAAGTCCGTTTTAACAGCATCTTTACCGGTGGAAAATTTGTTGAACACGAAAAAACTTATGTAAATGGCAATATGAAGCGAGACTATCATGATTTAATCTTGTCACTTCATGGTTTCACACTGATATCATCGAACTACTGTAAAAAAAAAAAAAAAAACATAATATTAAAATAATATATTAAATATCACATCGGTAAAATGGTGAAAATTTTTTATTCGAGCGCACGTCGTTTATGTAATGTGTAACATTATAACGGGCATGCTTGTTTTGCACCGATGAAATATTTGGACAAAAAAGTAAAATAAAATTATAATTTATAAATCTATTAAAAATAACAATCCATCTTCTGAGTTATAAGTTATCTACTTATTTTAAGGACATATGAATAGAATAGTTTGATAACATTTACCATTTCCAAAATTTTTGGATGGTTTTTAGAAATACGATTTTAATAGATGCATTTCTAATAAGGTTTTGTTGTCCAAAATAGTGTCAAAAGGATTAGAATAATTATCACTATAACTGAAAAAGACTAAATAAAATATAATAGCCACAAATCTCTATATCATGTTTTTTTCAATGTCCTTTGTCACCATACACGATCATCTATTCTATTCCATGCTCTTTTTTCATCCTCATATTACTATCTCAACTTTCCGATCATCCGTTTTATGCACATCGTCAATACCGACCTTTCCCTCTCCCTTTAAAACTTGAGCCTAGTTTCCATAATGTATTTTTATTATTGTTATATTAATATTTTATATCTAAAAGATTCGTCCTGTACTGTAAAATAAAATATAAAAATAAAATAACAAATATTAAGGAGACTAGAAAACTAGGTATTGTAAGAATATTTTTTTAAATTATAAAATATTTCTCCGTCTAATCTTTTAAGATAAGTTTTTATATGCATTGAAATCATATTTAATCAAAATACACAAAAAATGATAGGTGGAGTGCGTTAAATTGAATTAGGGTTTGAGTAAGATGCAAAACTTACAAAATTGATTGCGAATACACTATTAAGTGCTTTAAAGCTTAGGAATAGTGAAAAACTCTAAAAGTACATTTTTGTTGACCATCGTGCATGGTTAACTATTTATTTAAAAGTTACTCTTAACCAAAATTTCAAAATGTTTTACGTTATTAATTTAATTTAATTAGCGACTTGCATAATGAATAGTTAATAATTTTCATAGAAAATGATAAATTCTTAAACTAATATAAATAGTATCATATAGTTTATTGTGTGTTTGCGAAAGTTGTCTTAAGAAGAGCTACGTTGTCGTATAAACTTTCATGTTATTTTATATAATTATATACATTTTAAATAAAATACTATTAGGAATCCTATAAACTATTGTAGTACTCGGGCAACATAAACATGTACAACCATTGTTTATATTTCTATAGTTAAGAAATAAACACGGCAATGTATAAGAATCGATATAGTTCATCTACTCTGCTTAAAGTCTAAAATTTGATAAATGTAACAAGCTCATACAATTATATTGAGATTTTTCTGTACAACTGGGTAGTGAATAATATTTATATGAGTTATAAACATAGTTTTTCCTATTACAATATTTTTATTTTTATCTGTATTGATAAAAAAAAGCTTAGTTTAGAGTCGAATAAGACGAACAAATATTTATGACTATATATATATATATTTGCAATAAGACAATACCATCTATTACAATTCCAGTAATAAATTTTCATTAAAAATAGAAACGAATACCGTAGGGAATCAAAATATAAAAATAAAAATATGAGCTTGTAGACAAAAGAAGTTATGTGAAAAGTTAAAGATAATCATATTTATTTATTAATCATTAATACTAAATTTTGATACACAGTTTTATTTTTTTATTTTTATCAGACACGCATGCAGGATTAAATTTTTCGAAGAGTAAAAGAAAATATCTTCTATCGCACACAAGTGTATTTTTATAGAGTTTCGTAAACACCGATAAATCAATGTGTTTGAAAAAGGTCGTCTGCACTTTATACTCTAAGTAGTACAAAAATACTACAAAGTTCTTCAATGAGACATAAAAACGCATGGTGTTACCGAAGTACACCCGAAGGACAATTCCAGACGGTTACCCGCATTTAACCAGTTTTAATTTAATACGCTCTAATAATTGTTTTTTAAGTATTATGTGCATACATTATTTCTCATAGAAGAAAATATGAAAGGTATAGTTTCAACAACTCCACAATTGTGATAACGCAGCGTTTGCTTTCTTTTAACTACCCAAGTTCGTAAATTGATTTAAACACGATTGAGTGCTCTCAAGACATTTGGACGAAGTGCTGTAAATATACCGTGAGCCCTGAAAAAATTAGTATTAGTGTTGTTGTTAAGAAATTAAATAAAATTTGAAAATTAATATTGGTCGCAATTAGGTAATAGCCATAATTATCGATTATATGTAGTATGGAATTCTTTTTTTTTTTTATTTATTGCTCAGTCATACACGAATAGTCGTACTGTACGCAAACGCTTTTAGTAGTTCCGCGTTATGTCCGAATTGTTGCGTCTTATCCGTGTCAAAATTTTCGTATCTTCTACCATTTGACGTGATTTTTGAACACTTAACTCTGAGTTATCAGCTCAATTCGTTGAACCTTCGTACTACAGGGAGTATCCAATTTAGTATAATACAACTGTAAGTGCGTGCTAAGTAGTACAGTGAATGTAGTACAGTATAATATTAATCTCCCTTCTAAGGAACCGATACTCGCGACAACCTTTGGACCAGTAATTAGATTACGTGTTCCTATTTTAATTAAAAACTAAAATTAAAAATGATATATGTCAATTATATTATTTTTTTATTAATGTAATTATGACCAATATAACTAAGGAAAAAAAAAAAGATTAACAACCTCCGAATACTCAATTAAATTCAACAATGATAACATTGCAAACTATCGCAACGAGTGGTAATTGGATAGATACTAAAATAACAAATTTTTCTATTCCCTCAAATTCTGAACACCCAACATCACCGCAAGTATACACCAATAAAAACAAAAAAAAAACTATTCTCTCAAATAGATTTGATTTACTCAGACCTGCTAAAATATAAAATTCCTTCTTGCCCACTAAAAAATTCTGACAATACCTTATCTATCTCTGATGACGAAAAACCATGGTATTCCAATCCTATCTATCTGAAACCTTTAAACCACACAATGACACCTTAACCAATATATAGAACAAAATATAGAAAATGTTAAAATATATCTAAACTCTCCATTACAATATACTTGCCCTATAAAATACTTCTCACTAATACTAAAAAAATACTTTAAAAATTTTCTAGGCTATGATTTAATAACAGCCAAAGTTGCTATATGGCTGTTCAGAAAAACGATAATGCTCCTAACTTATATATATCTCGGGTGCTTGATCAAAAGGAGTTAAGTCAGATTTTTGAATAAATGAGATTTTGATTAATTTCTATTTTAAATAATTTTATCTTTTTTTTTGGTCCAGACAGTTTAAGTCTTACATTGAATCCATTTAAATTATTGCATTGGTATTTATAAGTTAGTTAAAAACTATTTGATAATTAAGGTATTTTAGAGTTAAGTCAATATGTATCATTTTGATTAAAAATAATTTTGACTTAACACCTTTTGACCAAACACCCAAGATATAACGCAACATAAGACTTTCATATTTTTTACTAAGCTGGACATTTTTGCAAATAGTTATGTTAGTTAAATCAGAAAAACCACCGGATGTCCCAATCTCGTATAGAATTATTAGTCTCTTACCCTACCTTTCGAAAATCTGTGAAAAGCTTATTCTTAAACTATTATCACCACATATATTCGCAACAAATATTCTTCTGGATTCACAGTTCGGCTTCAGAGCTAGACAAATCATGGTATATCAAGCTTATAGAGTAGTTGATGCTATTAGTACATTTCTCGAAAAAAAATATTATTGCACAGCTGTTTTCTCAGACATAACTCAGTCCTTCGACCAAGTATGGCACAAGGACCTGCTTTTTAAACTTCCGAAATTCTTACCCTCATCGTTCTTTCTTTTAATTAAATATTACCTTAAAAATCACCATTTTCAAATATGCTGTGAATCATCAACGTCTGTACTAATTTACAGTCTCATTTAAATCTACAATTTGAATGGTACGAAAAATGGAGCGTAAAAGTAAATCACAGTAAATATGCCTATACAACTTTTACTCTTAAACTATTCAAATGTTTCAACCAATAATATACTCATGCCACCCTTCAATGCTGTTAAATATTTAGGTTTAATTCATGACTAAAAATTAACATAGAACAAACACATAAGAGCTAAAATATTGATCCTTAACGCTCGATCTAGATCATTAAAAATGTTATTATTTAATAATAAATGTATTAGTTTAAAAACTAAATTACTTATTTACATAACTCTTCTAAAGCCTATATGGACATATGGGTTACAACTCTAGGGATAAGCAAAAAAACAAACTTGAATAAAATTCAAGTCTTTCGGAATATTACTCTAAGAAATACCACTAACGCTCCTTTCTATATCTTTAACTTAATCCTCCACCAAGATTTAGGTATCAAACCTGTTACAACTGAAGTGGATTTTTTTTAACAAACGGTTTTTTGCCAACTTAGAAAATCATCCCAACCCACTAATAAAAGAGTTACATACCTTCACACTTCCTGGAAACCCACAACGCAGACTTAATGGGAAATTGTGTCGGGATCATTTTAATTAAAAATAAATCTCGTCAATTGTAAACATATGCTAAGCTAAGTGTTACTAATGGGTGGCTTCTTATTCAAGTAATTCATGTTATGTATGACCTTTTATACACTTATTTTAGATTCATTTGTATAGATTGTGTATATACTTGTGAATAATAATAATAAAAAAAAAATATTACTCTATGATCGTATTTTTAAAAATTGATTTTACTATTATCGAATATGAATTTTATAATTTTTAGTTCTGATTAAAACTTAAAAAGCTCTTACTCTGTATACCGAATCAGTTTGATTTTTGAAAACTGTTATTCATACAATATGTACTTTGAAAAAGTAATTTATTTTTGTTTCGTGAGTATTTTTCTGAAGCTCAAGAAAAGTCGAAAA